TTTGCCAGAAATCAATTGGAATTAATAAAATCAGTGGTCTCCTAAGGATGAAAAAAGGGTTGCATGTGTGTGTGTTGCATTTCAGTTTTAAACTCAAGAGGACTGCAGAGTCTCTGTAATTTCATCCTTTCAGCTTCTAAATAATCAAAGCACAGTGGTCTCATGCCCAGTTTGTGAGTTTTCTCTCTCTATATGGAAAACCAGAATAAGGTACGCAGTAATTCAGTACCCCGAACCAATTTAAACAACAGAAATAAAAATTATTTAATATAGCTGTAGTACTGGTATTTGTCTTTATCATCACACAATGTCCTTGTGATTTTTCTGTTTGATTTTCCATCTCTGAGCTGAGCATTGGTTGTGTACTGGAGCAAGGTTGATGACCATCTCCCCACGCTGAGCATTTCTCTTTGGTAGATTCAGAGAGAATCAGGGTCCCCATGGGACTCACAACTGCAGAGGTTATTGCAGTAGCAGTATCCTGATACACCACTCACTTTTTTCCAGTCCTAGACCCAGGATGTGGAGTAGAATGGTGCACACATTCACTGTACTGAAGATGGCTTTATCTGCTGCAAATAGTTTTGTCCTAAATAGATTCCTGAAATTAAACTGGTCAAATCTATGGTTAACATGAGTGTAGCCGGAGAATTAGTCAGACATACTTATCCCCGGTTTTAAATGAACCAAGGTCTAGCCTCACGTGTGTTTTCAGTGGGGTTTCTTTACTCAGGATAACTTGGTGAGACTCAGAAGAATAGAAAAAGAATAAAATCTTGTGTAATATTTTCAGAATTAAACTCATAGTAATCAATCTAAGATGTTTCAAATGATACAGCAGTCAGTTTATAACTGACTGCTGTAAAAAGTAGTCGTAAACCTGAGAGTATGAGGAAACTCTTTGCTGTTGCAGGACTTTTGACTTTGCTATGTTCTGTTTGCAGGGTCTCGGTATGTCTAGTGGAGGTCAGGCTGGTTTGGGCACTCCTTCATCCCGGCAGTATGCACGACAGAAAATAACTCGCATAAACCTCAGGGACTTCATCTTCTACATGGAACAGGAAAGAGAAATGAGCCATTCTCTCCTGCTCTATCGAGCTCTGCTTAAATAAAGCCAAGAATTGTACTGAATTCTCCATACAGAAGCTCAACCTGCATTAAAAAGCTGTCATTTTAATGTGCCTTCTATTTTTTTCAGAAGTCAATGTTCCAGTAATTTTATTTTGTAAAATTGTCAAACACATGCAATAAATTCCCTTTATGTAAAAAAAAAAAAAAAAAAAAAAAAAAACAACCAAAACAACAACAAAAAAAAAAACACCAAAAAAACCCACACAAAAAAAATGTGCAAAAGGTTTTAAAATGTTAAATGCAGAGATACAACCACCATCGAAGTCTTGCTCCGTTTGGCCACTTTAGGTACAGCTGCAGTGGATGGTATTGACTGGTAAGGGTGTTGCGATGGCTAACACAACCATCTGCATAAGGAGGACTGCGACAGGTTTACAGGACTGGAACCTAACTGTGATGTTAACCTGTATGTTCATGGAAGGCGCTGGGTTTGTTTCCTCTTTAGTTTTGCTAGCAGTTTCCACTAACCATGGTTACAACATATCTGTTACTTTAGATTAGTTATAATTGCAGTCTTTTGCACAGCTAAGAGAATAGCCACTGCACACTCTCACACATTTTATATAGGTAGGATTTCTGCTTTTACTGCACAGCTCCTCTGAGCCATTTGCTGAACCAAATCCTAAGTGTGTGAAATCTGTGTGCTTGGGTCTCAGCTGAGTTACCTGGACTAGTGTCCGGTTGTTTTCTGAAATCTTCTCAACCTTTTGCACATTTGTAGCAACTGGTTAGTGACATGAATCAAAGTTGGGTTTTATTTTCTAAAACAAAGTTTAAAAAATCTTATTTATTGCAGAGTATGGTTTAATGGTGGTTTTAAAAGAGAGGTGGTGTTCAGTGAAGATTTCAGAGTATGGTACACGTGGATTTTAAAGTCGCTGTAACAGGAGTTTTGGGGGCTGGTTCCACTCATGGAAGATCAAGTGAGCCCTGGTGCCACAGTGCCTGGGGCCTGGCCGTGTCCTGGCCTTGGAAGACTGGACTCCAGTCCAGAGAGGCACATGAACAAGTGCATGACTGAAGCATAATGAGTAGTGTTAAGTACTTAAAGGTGGGATGAATGCTTTCTAAATGCTTTGCTGAAGTGGGATTTAAAAGGCCTACACCAAAGCCAAGTGACATTAGTGTGAGTCTTTTAAATGGGTATTGGCTAGGAGTATTGATCAGGCAGGTAGGCACAAGTTCTACTTCAAACATAACAGTATTAGGAGTAACCATTGAAGGGGAGACGTTTGCTTATTTATCTTGTCAATTTTTACCATGTTATGCTTGCCACTTTTTTGAGGCAATTTTTTTTTTTTTCAGATGGGGAAAACATAGCGAAAGCACAAACAGAACTATTTGTCCGATAGTTTTAAAACAAAGTTTTAATTATTTTTTAAGGTTCATGAAAAGCAGAAGAAAATTTATACTGCTGCTATTTAGCCAAAAGATTATTCATAACATATTTAAGGCCAGAAAGTGTAAAATTATGTTTTAAATTTATTGATAATTTGTACATGTTGTTTATAAAGGCCTTGTGTTTATTAGAATTACGTTATTTTGATGATTTCTGTACATATTCGTAAATATCCCCAACTTGTGTGAAAACATACTCCCTTATTTGTACTTATTTTATAAAGAAATAAAACAATTTACTAAAGTAACACATCGAGTAACATACAGTATTAATTTATCAAACAGGAATTTCACATTGTCTTGTTCTTGAGCACTGTTCAGGAACATTTTGCATTAAAATATTAACAGAATACCCTCAAAGAAATATTAAACCCAAATACTTCAGTGTTTTGTTGTGCTGATCCTTACCCTTTGTCAAACATCTAATAAAACTGTCATCAAACCTTGATGCTGTTAATACAGTGAATGAATGCACTCAGCAGTTGTCAGTTCGAGAAGCACAACAGAACATTCTCTCTCTCGCTTTCCTTCCGAGGCTCGGGACCACAGCGATGGGAAGTGCATGGGAAGTGCTAGTGAAGACCCAGGTTCTTCCAGCCACAGGTTCAGTTCTCAGCAACGGAGAATTGGGACTGCTTTGTGCAGCTGAGTTGGGCGAGAAGCCTGGCTACGTTTGCTTCTTGGCCTCCGTGTTTTTTTAGCCTTCACTGGGCTTGCTGGGGTGTTCTAAAACCCGTCTTAGCAATGCTGAGCAATGTTCTTAAGTTATGTTGCTACGGTCTAAGGCCAGAAGTAAGAATTCATATCAGTTTTTGCTGCTATTGCTGCCTAAAAATATAGGGAAATAAGTAAAAAAAGATATAAAAGGAACTGTAATAAACTTTAAATAAGTGACCTGAAGTTACTAACTAAAAGAACATGTCCTAGCTTAACTTTTTTTTAAAGGCATATTTCTTCTATCCAGGTGATTGTTTCCACATGTCTTCTTTGCCTTAGTGCTATTTTGCAGTCAATGCTGTGATGTCATGGCTCAAACTTTCCATCTCAAGTTCACATTTAACTTGGCTGGCGCAGCCTGGAACCCTTTCCAATGCCACCTTAGCAAGCTGCCCAAATCACTAGAGCTGCTTTATTGAGCTCTAAAGAAACACAGGGTAAAAACACCAATCTGAAGAAAAAACAACCAACCACAAACCTCCCTGTCCAGGAGGACAAGACATTAAGTGTATGTAGGATTAAAACAAGAAGCTAAACAGCTTATTTAAGGTTACTCTGAACTCAAAGTGAACTCAATGTATGAAAGTAATAAATAAAACACTTTTTTTTTCCTCTTTGTAAGACCTGGCTACATTGAGCTGAATGGAGCAAAAGCCAGAGGCGATGCAATCGAAAACTCTCACATCTTTCAAACAACATGGAAGATACAGTGAGTGTTCCACCCTACTTGCTTATTTTTGATCACTTACTTTACAGAAATGTTTATGGCATGAACTACTGTATGAGAAATGTGCATACACAAATACATGACAATTACGTTAAGTTCTTTACAATATTAAATGTATAATATACAATTCTACAGATATCTTACATACAAAGGTGAATGTTGTGCCATATATTCAGATATGGCAATGCCTAGCAACTTTAGAATGTCATACAAGTATAAAACCACAAAATAAAATAACTTTACAACTCTTTTGAAGTAGACAGATGTGCTCAAAGTGTTTGGCTAAGTTAGCAGGCTAACACTGACCAGCTACAAGATTGCTGAGTTGGGCAACCAAGGTGAGGAAACCTGCAGAGGTCTGATTTTCCATGGACAGGTATCCAGCCCTCTTCCAAAAATTAGACCCCTGTCTAGATTGTCCCTTGGGCAGTCAGTGCAGCTCATTGCTGTTGAAAGTATTAGTCTTAAAAAATGATTTTTTAATTTTGTGATCAACTGCCATTAATGAATTTTTGACCACTTCATACTCTGTCCCTTGTTGTATCTGGCTGTATTTATGCATCTAAGAAGAGTTTCATTAAAATTCAGCATCTACAACAGTATTCTATAAATTAATGTGGGATAAACTAAACTGTGATTAACACATGAATTACTTACTGAGGACCCAATCATGCCAAACAGCAATCAACAGGATTTAGCAGAATGCTATTTATAACCTTGCACCTGCAAACCCAGTGCTGTCTCCTGAGTTAGGAAGCCCTGTGAGTCAGAGTTGATACCAATTTACGGAAGGAGCAGGCACCTCCTGCAGACAGCCTGCTTCAGTAGACAAAATTACAGGTGGGGGCAGCTGCCAAACTGTGTTTTAGTAATAGTTTACAGAAATAGAGGGAAACGAATCTAAACAAGCATGTCCGGCTTTCATCGGACAGTAGAGAGGGGTTTAACACAGTTTTGCAAAATTACAAATAACAGTAATTTTGCAAAAAAAGTAGGCTTGTCTAAAATTCTTAACGCCTCCTCCTAAAACATGGTCAGTAAATGATTAACAAGAGATGGCAGAGCTTGCTTGGCAGAACCACGCTGCTTTGATGATGCCAAACTTAACAGTTTCTGAGTCAAAACAAGACTAGCTTTAAGAGAACTACAGCTCCATGTTGGGTATGTGACCCTTGTGGGATGGCAGCATTTTGTTTTGTGCTTCCAGATCCCTACTTTTGCAATCATTGCCAAAATTGGCCTTGTCAAATTTTTTGTCACTATTTTTTTGTTTAGTGCAGGTTTTTTTTTAGTACGGAGCACCAGTTGACTATAAATTGGTCCTTTTCAGATTCTAGAGTCTGTCCACAGGGAGATATTTCTGTTGAAAATGTAGTATAAAAATAAGCCATTTGCTAGTACGAGCGAGTACAATCACAGAAGTGTCACGTCATGTATGGAGGTGTAAACCACGTCTGATATGAAGGAGGTGCGGCAGTCAGGGAAGATACTCAGTGCAGTTTTTAGGGAACCATCTTCCTCTCGAGGCTCCTGCTTCCATGCGTCACAGCGTCGGGGTACAGCTGGAACGGCTGTTGGAACTGCTTCTCCTGCTGATCTATTCAAATTGCTTTTACTGCTCTTTCGTAAGTCCAACCTAGGGCCAGTGGCTGACGAAGCTTTGCCTTTTCCACCACCACCACCGCTGTTTAGCCCAAAGTACGTTCCCAGCAGGCCTGGTATGCTGAGCACGTTCAGGAATTCCATTGTGAAAAACGAACAACTGGTTTTTCAAATGCATTTCATGGCTGGCTATGTGACAGGTAGTTTCAGAATACCACTAATTGGCAACTTAAAGTCAAAATCTGTTTGCTAATACTGTTTTCCAAATTCTTAGTGTTTCACATAAGGGACTATTAAACACTTATACGGTTACAAAGGAGTAGGGGAGTAGGGTCTAGTCCAGGGGCTCCTGTTTTATTCTGATGGTTGGGGTGGGTTGTGGTCGTCTGTCCTCACGACACAGCACATATTCACTGAACTGAGAGGAATCCACCCCACCACCGCATGAAGCTGCCACACTGAACCCCTTCTGAAATAATCTCTCAAGCACCTGCAATGTGGGGAAAAAAATTCAGATTAATATTTAGCAAATTTTAGTGATTAAAGCATTCAGGGAGACTGGATCTAAATGATGGATTTAGTCTTTCGAGTTCTCATTGAATGAATATTATTCAGCTATAATTCTTTAAGTTATTGTTAAATGACTATGCTGTGATTAAAGTCTCGCTCTCAGCAAACCTCTGCAGAAAACAAAAATTAATCACAAAAATAAGAGCTCTGCAGAGCAGCTTAGTACATTATATAGTAAAATACTGTACTGTGGTGATATTGATGTTATCTCTTACTGCTTACAGAAAGCAACATCAGGTTTAGGTTGTAATGAAAAGCGCCCATTACTCAGTAGTAGTATAAACAGGCTTAGAGGAAGGGGCTGAAAACGTCTCAGCTCATCCTTGGCAGATGACAATGTCTTAGGAGGCTGAGTGACACATCTCCACACATTCCACCACATCTCCATGGACATCAGAGTTGTGGTTTTCACTCGCTGGAAGGGAGTGCTGCTGTATGTGCATGCAAAGCATGGCTGGGATGGGATGTGGACCCAAGACAAGGACAAACAGGAAACGTTCCGGCCCAAGAAAGAAGTTAATTTGTATTGCCCAAATACGTATTTTCTCTTTCTCCTTCTGAAGAAAAGCTGGTGCAATTTAAATGCATAAATTTAAGGAACCCAGAGGCAACTTTAATTTCTGAGGCTGTGTGACACAGCACATTACCCTAGGATATACTGATCTTGGCAGTATGTTTGGGGCCATGTTTCCACAGGCATGAGCATGTTGATACATGGTTTCCCAGCAGAGCTGGACGTAGGCAGAGTTTTCTCAGAGCAGATGCCAGGTCCACCTTCAGTGGATCCACAATGCCAGATCTACTGGAGGAGCTGCTGTGCAGCCTCCCACCCAGTGGTGGCTCTCGCGGGTCCAGGGCAGCAGCCTGGAAAAATGGTTCTTCTACTGGTAAATGCCATCAAGAGGAGCAGCCTGTACCGGTCTGTAAGTGCCCAAGGCACCGTGTCCATTGCCACAGCACATGAGCCTGCTGTGATGGGAACTGAACCTCATGATTGATTAAACCTGAAGAACTTGGCAACACCAGCACCCCCATGTGCCAGCTGTCTGCTGCCCACAGCGACAGACTAGGGACAGAAAAGTGACTAAGCCACTTAAAAAACTTTACCATAGAAATGTGGAATCCCAGACTGGTTTGGGTTGGAAGGGACCTTAAAGCTCATCCAGTTCCAACTGCCTGCCACAGGCAGGGACATCTTCCACTAGACGGGGTTGCTCCAAACCCCATCCAACCTGGCCTTGAACACTGCCAGGGATGGGGCAGCCATGGCTTCTCTGGATCACTCAACCTGAGTGTGTTTAAGTGTCTTAAGCAATAGACACACCTTCAGTCAGAGGCAACTCATACGCTTTTACAGGTTCACGTTATAGGAGGAACTTTATTTCTTTTTTGGTTTTACTAGCCCTGCGAGCTCCGCAGCAGTTACACCTACTGCGGTAGTACTGAGAAGTCTTACATTTCACATCCCAAGCTGACTGTTAAAAGATCTGCACACCAGACTGCTGCCCTGACACACAGACCCACGCGAGGCCATGTTGCATTTCTTAGTGTACGCTTTCCTCAGCCTGTATGCTCGGTTTGCTTTCTCCAGAAGCATCAATTTGGAGCCTATATTAAGGACAAAAGAACTGTATCTGAGGTGGTACCATGGTGCAATGCAAGCCATGGCAGCAGCATTTGCTGGTTTTAATCCATGGGAACTGAAAGATCAAAAGAGCAGACCAGTGTATGGTAGAAAAGTGAACCTGGGGGGATTAAAAGAAGGGGTGGGAGGGTGGGTTATCGCAATACATTTAAGATGCTTACAACTCTCTTACTGGGGCTGTATGCTACCTGCAGGACAGAAACGGGGTGCGTACACTAACACTTGTTCCAGCTGAAAGAGGAAAGCAGGAGTTCGAGAGGGAAGGAGGACTATGACATCATCAGACTGCTGTTCCATGAGCTGGAGAGTATTTTGACTGTATTACATTCCTAGAGCTGGCAAGATGAATATGAGAGGCAACCCAGCTACAGGAAAGGAGGCTGCTTCCATTTACTTCCATTTACTTAACAGTTCCATTACTTACTTACATTCCAATCCCCTGGATAGCAAACCAGAGGATTGATGGTTAAGATTTCAGAGAGAGATGTGACTTCAAAATCCTTGATAAAAACTTTTTAAAATCAATTTCCTTGTAATATAAACCAAGAGCAGGGGTGCCCTTGGCTTGCCTCTGTCCAAAGATATGGAAGGCTGCCTATTAACATAGGACTCCTCTTCCCTCAGCCAGCTCTCTGCATACACACAGTCCAGGTAGACATTACATCTTAGAGCACTGCACGCAGAACAAAGCAATTCGGTTTTACTACCTAAGTGCTCAAAGGACTAGACTGCAGGCTATCTAACCTTAAAAACCTCAGTATCACCCAGTTTCTCAGCAAGAAACAAACCAAGCCAAATCCTGTAAACAATGCACAGAACGTTTAAATATTGTAGCTTTTTAAGTGTAACTCGGATAACCTTGAACTCAGCTCTGTGAAGAAAGGCTCCTAAAAGGTGCTTCCATGAATGCTGAGCACTGGTTTGCACGTGCTGGTGCGTGCACAAGACTCAACAGAATGTTAAACATGGACAGATTTAAATGCCATTTACTGCATTTGGTTCTATGCACATTACTTTTTCCAAAGGTAAGAAGATACAGATAGAGGTAAACTAGTGTCTTAAGTCAAACTGGAGCTTCTGTCCTGTAAACCTCCAAAGAGAGTATGTCAAAAAGTGAGCATTAGCTGCAATTCTCGTATGTATGGGGGGGGACACACTATATTAGAGGATCTGTGAGTGGTGAGGCCCTGGCACAGGGTGCCCAGAGAAGCTGTGGCTGCCCCATCCCTGGCAGCGTTCAAGGCCAAGTTGGACAGGGCTTGGAGCAATCTGGTCTAGTGGAAGGTGTCCCTGCCCATGGCAGGGGATTGGAACTGGATGAGCTTTAAGGTCCCTTCCAACCCAAACCAGTCTGGGATTCTATGATTTAATATACTCTGTCTCCCAGTATTCTGAGCATATCTGATTTTGTTGCACTCTTTTCTAAGTAGAAACACAACATTTTCACTTAATGTACCTCATTTAAATTTTGCAGAATGCTAACAAATACATTCTTAATTATGAAGACCCAATGTTCAACATAAACAAGCACCACAGCATTTTCTCTAAGGTAAGCTCCTGTATCTTGCCAGAACCTTTTGCAAGGACTTGAATAAACACTGTCAGCCCTAAGAAAACTGTATACCTGTTAGTAATTACAAATGGGCATTAAATTAAGAGCTACTGTATTTTTCTGGCTACCACTACACTGTTGACATTCTTTGAAGTGCACAGCTCTGGAAACAAAGCGTTTAATGGAAATACCTTCCAAAGATAGGAAGAATTGAAAAATATTGCAGCTTTGCCACCAATAAGCTAGCAAGGCACAGGGAGGCAAAAGTGCTGTACTGGAGCAAGCAGCAGGCAGATTGACTGCATTGCCCTTTGAGCTTCTTTGGAAGTGGTTCTGCTGTTCCACCCACTTCCCCTTCTAACCCATCTCCCTTTAGTCTGGGGCATTTGCTTCCCTGTACTTCCAACTTCTGACTTTTGCCAAAAAGCCCTGGGAAAGGAGGGGCAGCACCTCTGTGCTGACCAGAGTCCCGCTGAGCCAATGATAATTAGCTGCTGATTTCATCAGCCTTTGGTCTCAGAAATGCATCATTTTGCAGAAAATGTTTGGAAACACTTTCTATTAATTATATAGTAAAATCATGTAATTTAGTAAAATCATGTAATTTAGTATTATTATTTATACTGCAGACAGAAATTTTTTCACAACACGAACTTGTGAAGAGATGCTTTGATTCCATCTGAATTCTGACTGAATTCAAAACACATTCAAATATTAACACTAATTAGCATTCAGCTTCTACTGCACACCACTTTGGCTTATCCAGAGCCAAGTGCTCAGCCTGGTGGGCATCCAGCTCTTTGCCCGACTGCTGGCAGTGCTGAGCCCACTGGTGGCCCTTTGTTGCTTGGGTATTCTAATTTCTGTCTTGTGAGTAACTGTGTCACAAGGATAGGGTGGCTGAAATACAAACATGCTTCCCCATCCACTTACTTTAGCTGAAGTGCAGCTGCTTCCTTCTCCACCCAGCACAGTGATGAATACATCACCATTCCCACTGCCAGCAAATGGATCTGCCTCCAACCCACTTCCAGCCTTCTATTTCTAGCAGTCCACCCTAAACCTTGCCAAATGTGAAACTGCAAAGGACTGCACAAAATCAACCACAGGCATCAGCCTGATCAAAGGTCAACCAAATGAAACACTTGGGAGACTTGAACCAAAAAATCATCCGAACCAGCTGGGTTTAGACTGGTTTCACAGAAAAGCATTATGAGTGCAAGGAGCACCAGGGGGTGCTGCCCCACGGAGGGAGGTGTCAGTGTCAAATACACACTGTTAAAATGGCTGCATCCACCTTTACTGGTCTTCACAGTCTGGCCAGCCAGTCCCATGGGACAGCTCTTCTGTGGGTATTTGACCACAGGAAAGTTCACGAAGGCCACTAAAGCCTTTCCAACAGCCCATTTAGCATCCACAGCCACAGCCCACCAGCAAGGGACAGTAACTCTGGAAATATTCCTCACAGGCTGATTTCATTTCACAGTATTTGCAGCGTATTTTAGAGGCATACAGGCGAAAACTGAGAGCTGTTTTGACCTTGTAAGGCGCAAGTTAACAGCATCACCAACGCTGTTCCTTTCTGCAGCCAAAGGATAACTACAACACCACGGCCTTGGCCACAGTGGTGGTGACCCACTGTGAAATGGCATTTCTTGTCCATAAGGCTGCTGCCTACACACAAGCCACAGATTTATTTCTGCTACCATCTACCTATCTGTCCAGTTATCTTCTTTTGTTTCATATGTTTAATTTTAAGCCTAATGTCAAAACTCTGAGTATAAAATGAAATACATTTTGTTTAAAATACTCTGGGCAATTTTTATAGAACATCCTTTTGAAAAAAAAAAAAGTGCAGAGATCAATTTTTTTAAGTCCATCCCGCAGGCACCATCATTTAATTATGAGTGAGACATAAATTATGCATTTACACATTGTTGCATTTTCTATAAAATGGTGTGGAGACTTTTTTTTTTTGTAGTTTTTGGAACTCTCTCTTTCTTCCTGGGGGCACTTTGGAGGAAAAAAAAACCCTGCTGCAGGCTGTACATTGATGAAAAAATTAGCATTTATCAGTGTACCACCATTATGAGACCAGCATGGCACTAACATACACAAAATCTAAATCTATTTTTCTGCTTAGACTTAGGAAAACCTGAAAGACTGTGATCTCACCAGGCAGAAAATGTCTCCTTGCAGTATAAACACTGGAAGTAATTGGGCAGAAGCAAATAATCTGCATATAATTGAATAAGAAATACTAAAAAACCCACCCCAGCAAACAGATGAGCCAGCACCGAAAGGCCATTACGTTACCTGCACTGAGTTCAACCGGCAGTACCCGTTCAAAGGAAACCTAATAACGTGGGTAGGGTCCTGGTTCCAGCCGGCGTTCACAGAGTTGCACATGACATCCCCAGTCTCCGGAAAGATCTCTTCTATTAAAGCTTTCTCCCCACTCAATGCAATTCTCTCTCCCAGATCAGGAGTCACTCTTACGACCAAGCAGTCACAAGGCTGGAAATGTTTCCGTTGTTCTTTCTCTTGTTTCCATCGCTCAAGTTCCTTAATCATTGGCTGCAGCTGGTAATATTTTGCTTCTTCATATAAAAGATTAAAGTCCTGGGGAAGAAAATAAAAGAGAGAGGGAGAGAGATAAACTAGAAATGCTGACAGAGTTCTCATTTAGCAATGAGTATTGTTCCTGTTTGACCTACTTAGGCTTATGTATTGTCAGCAAGAGTGCAAAAGCAACAGGTACCCACGTAGTTTGTCTTCGTGTTACACCTACACAGAAAACCACACTGTGTTAGCGGTGAATCTGTTAGAGCTGACCGTGAAGTTCCCACTGCACTGAATTATTTGTTCATTTATCACCCCACAAACTCAATGCCAGAAAGCTTTACTTTTGGATTAAAAAATCAAAATAACTGTTTGCATTAAAGAAAGCCTGCTGACGTAAGAGATGTCCCGAGCCCTAATCTTCACTCTTGGCCTCAGACAGTCACTTCTGATTTTGCCACAGAAGATCTTAGACTTCACTGTCACCTCTCACACATGTTAGGAGATTGAGATGTAAATTCAGCTTCACTTCTCACCTGTCTTTGCTGATTCTGAAATTCAGCTACGGTAGCTGCTCCCTACATTTCATGATTATTCCTATATTTAAAGTCTACTTTGGATCCTGGAAAATTATACAGTGGTAGTGACCACCCCACTCCAACAACTTAAGACACAGTTCTTCCCAGCCATTTGTCCATCACCTCACTTGGGCTTTGGGCAATTCAAATTCCCAATCTGATCCAACTCCCAGTTCACTGACTGTTTTCTGCACATCCTCATTAACAGCTTTGCATCAGATCTCCAACAGATCTTTCCACCTCAGCTGTTGAGTATGATGAGACAACGGGTGTCAGCAGCCCATCAGACCAAGCCAGAGAAGGAAGAGATGGGTGAGCACTGGGTTGACAGTTTGCTTACAGTGGCCCCACCACCTCCTCCAGCCTCCTGAAGGGAAGAGGAGCAGCAAGAGCACCACCAGCTCCTCTCTGCAAAGATGTGTCGTTTGCTTTCCTGGCTCTTATGCCTTCTGCAGATGGAAATGCTGCACCACAGGTATGCTCTCTGACTTTTGCGGAGCATGCTGCAGGTCAGCACACCTGGATGTAAAGACTGCAGTGAAATAAAATGAAAAATCACAAGAGTGAAGCAACTGGAATAATTTGGACTGGGAAGAATGGCATGACAAGAAGTAATCAAGAAATGGGCACCAAAATTCCATGAAAAATAACAGCAGTGCTGCTGCTCCAGGACCTGGGGAAGCAGGGAAATCAAAGGCCAATGAACAGGCAGCACAAAATATGCGACTCTTCATAGTGGCTTGGAATTAACCTGTAAAATCTGTTGCTGCAGGATATTACTGAACCAAAGCAGTTAGCTCTGTTCAAATTTGGCACACAGACCCACCGCTGGTAGTGGAGAGGTGCTCCTTCTCCCCAGGGCTGCCTACAGCCTGGAGATGTATGAATATTCACTGACACTGGTAAGGTTATCGCGTTTCAAAAGGGACATCCAATCCTCTACATCTCTTTGATGTCTGTTACGGCTGGGACAATAGGCACACTGCTAAGGGAGAAAAAAGGACCAGAGAAGGCACAGAGAGGGAAACAGGGGAAGAGGCAAGTGGGAAGAAACGAGGGCAACAAACACACAGGAAGTAGCTGGAAGATGAAAAGCAACAGGAAGATTAAAGAAGAAACCCTATACAAAGCATGCTGCGAACAACGGAGCTGGTTACAGGCCAGCCAAAGAGGCATGAAGACTGGCTGCATCACCTGATCTCAGCTAAGACAGCATCAGCCCCAAAGCTTCATTCCCTGATGGATGGTATTTTCTCCCCTCCCCCAAACCATTACTGCTTTTCTGTATCCACCAGGGAAGCTCCCTGGTTACTGAGCATAGGATCAGTTTAAACCTACACGGATTACTGGCCTAACTTAAAAAGAGCCCCTGCCCTAAACTTTCTGAAGTTTTCGTGTGGGACACACAGCACACCACCTAACTGTGTTCATTACAGAGATGTGTGCAAGGGCCTTTCAAACATTCACTGGGCATCTGCTGGTCCCATGTATCTTTTTTATCAAAGGAAAACATTCAATGCTAAGGAAAAACTTAACTCTGGAGAGTGAACAGGAGCATCCAGTGCTTACTGAAGGCAATTGACAATCTCACAGTTTTCAGTAGGTCCTGAAAAACTAGTTTTAGCCTATCTGTGTTCACGGTCACTAAAAAATAACGTATTAGTTATAAGATCAATCAAGTGAGTATGTGCTAAGTAAACTCAACAGTAAAACCTAGAGGAGATGGTACAGTACCATAAAAAGCAGTCCTTTATTTCTGGAAGAAGAGAGAGGTACAATGCTCCTGAGTGTGGATGCAAAGACCACCACAGTCACCAGAGCCTTTATGACTGACTTCACTGGGCTCTGTCCTAGGCTGACAGTATCCTGAATCACAGCAGTTCACTGGTCCAGCACCTCCAGGCCAAAACAGTAAAGCCGTAACACAAACAAAACAAGGATCATGCCACCTCTACCTCCCTCTAGCCAGCTGTTAGCCCACTGCATCAGATGCAGCTCTTAGTGGCTCCTACTAGCCATCGTTTATCTGAAATAATATCTAAATAAACAAGATAAATTTTACATTCTGATATGATTTTGTGATAACGTGACCAGTTTTCAAATGAAACAGCTCTTCCACTACTGTCTTTCCCAGAGGATACAGCCACGCTTCAGATGGCTGTGTGGAAATTGGGCTGCACTGGAGCATCACATGCTCTGTGCAATGAGGTCTGCAGCTGGTCACAACTGCCTGGGTTAAACCAAGGTGTTTGGGTTAGTTTCTGAAGTAAGACACTCTGTGTCCATTCCACACTTGGGTTGAGGGCAAATATCTGGAACGGGTTCTGCACCTGGAAAAAGGGGTTTGTAGCAGAAGCTGGGAATCTGAGGTGTGCTGGTGTGGAGAAGCAACACACGTGCAACGTCAGGGAGTCTGGGCACCTATTATCAGGCAGTGCAATAAAGAGAATTTGTTGGACTGTAACGAGCGGATAAAAAATGTGTCTTCTGCTGGCAAGAGAAAATTCACCTTCCATGGCCCCCCCTCCACGTACCACACACTGCCCAACCCAGGCACCAGCATCCTAGCCCGCCCCACTGCCCCAACCCTGTACTGGACTGCTGGTGCTTCTGCACTGAGTGACTTGGGCACTGTTCAGGCATTTGACCACATATTTAGCGAGGGAAGATAACTTTGCTAAATGAGGAACAAAGAAAGAGTGGCTCCCACTGTGGGGGTTCAGTTGTCTGAAGCCTGTGCTTGGCCAGGGTAATGGACTCACCACACTGCTAACTACAAGATTTTGTCATTCAGGTTTTATACACCACTCAGAGTACAGTGCATCTGAGATCTGACTGGAAGCGATGCCCAGCTCTGGTTTGCCTACAGAGGATGTTGAGGACAGGTAATACCACCATAGCTACTTCCACCTTGTACTGTAGATATAAAATCCTATCCTGATGACTTGCAAAAATTTAATATGAAATGTGAAGTAGAATTCAGCCCACAAGGGACCTCACCATGGAGGTGCCACAGGAGCCACAAGAAAACATTTCCATGCTGCTGGTTTTGAAAAGTTATCAAAGGCAGACACAGACATGAATCTTCCTAGACCTATCCAGAAGAGGCACACTTCACTGAGGCAGGCACACGAATAGCTACAGGGCATTAACTGCCTAGCACAGTGGCAAAGTGCACACAGTCTCATTGAAACTTAGCCTCAGAGCAGCCTGGTACAGCTTTTGTCCCAGGCGCATGCTGATAGATGCACACAGATATTGCACTCTTTCTCTCACAGAGGCTGCAGCCCTGGTGTCAGTGCAGTCCTGCTGAGCTCAGACAGCATCCCACAGCAGATTTTGTACAGCATCCAGGAGTTCCTTGTCCTGCAGGACTAATGATGCACCTCCCATTTATTCTAAGGATTATTTCCCTACCTTCACAGCTTCTTAACAGCACTGCACTTCATGGCAGCACAGCCCAGAGTCAAGCAGCATGTATGGTAGCTAATGAAGTTGTCTGTGTTTAGCTAAGGTAAATCACTTTACTCCGAAGGTGATTCCTACCAGCCAAGGTCCCTGCTCATGTGCTCCTTGCTAGACTGAAAGGGGAAAGGGGACATGGACAGACCAGCCTCTGATTTTGCTGTAACATACCACAGAAATTGGATGCCCTATCCCGGACAGTGTTCAAGGCCAGGTTGGATGGTACTTGAAGCAACCTAGTCTACTGGAAGGTGTCCCTGCCCACGGCAGGGGATCGGAACTGGATGAGCTTTAAGGTCCCTTCCAACCCAAACCAGTCTGGGGTTCTATGAAAAAGCTACCATGAGCTACCATGAGCCTTCAGCTTGTGGCTGCTGTAGGAACTAGTAAGGAAGCTGTGTCAGGTCACCTGCAAAGAGGCAGCAGCTGGCCAGGTGGCATGAGCACAGCCTTTCCCCATCCACAACTTCTGGACATTTAGACCTCATAGGAGAGGTAAACACATCCTTCAAAGACACAGCTTTTTGCCTTTCACAAAATAATTTTCTGCTCATGACTTGGTAGGAAAGCTTTTTTCCTGGTGGATTCTACAGTCACCACTGACAAGCATGACATACTGCTGAGGAGGAGATTGGCAAGTGTGACTGCAAAGCCAGTTGTGCTGCTGTTTCCACATCACTGCCAGCAGGTCACAAAGATCAGCTAACTACAGGCAGAGACAGCCAACATAAACTGTAAAACGGTGTCTCCTGTGAACCTGATACTGTTCTCTCAGTACTGAAGAGGTCCTTTGGTTCTGTACCTAATGGTGACTCCTAAACAGGCCGGAATGGCTCTTCCTGCCTATTTTCCACTTGTTATTCTTTGTTACATGAAACAGCAAACTGTCATCCTGAGTCAATGTTTCTTTTATATTTTAGTGCTGTGAAGATCTGACTCCTGGCTACGCGAAAAAGTTGCTCACTTCTATGATGACAACTGCACCATTTGGTGAGGTCAGTTCGAGAGCACTTAGAATTAGATGCAAGCACTAATTTTAAAACAATAATAAATTAGCGTGTTGGCCCTGCGGTTCTGGTGCTACAGGTGAGCTCTACATCCCATACAAAACTCCGATGTCCTGTGTATTTGTCCTCCTCCCCTCCTTAAGATGGAGCAATAATATACACATTCCCTATATCTGGTTTTGTTTGACAACCTCTAAGGGAGGTGTGAGTCGTGTGCGTCTCAAGTAAGTAGGTGTGATGAGTCCTGGTTCTGAATGAAGTTATGTCCTGGCAGTGAAAGGGGCAGATGCTGCTCAGAAATGTCCTGCGGAAACACCTTTGATGGTGGGGGAAGACCAAGGCAGAAAGGCCAGGTTGGATGGGGCTCAGAACAATCTTGTCTAGTGTGAGGTGTCCCTGCCCATGGCAGGGGGTTGGATGAGCTTTAAGGTCCCTTCCAACCCAAACTGTGGGCTGCAGAGAGGTAGCTCCAGAGCCAGCCATCCCCTAACCCAGCAGCATGGCAGACCAGGGGGTGCTGGCTCCACACTCTGCTCCAGGACATTTGTTGCTCAAGATGTCATGGTCCCACACACAGGTCTCTGAACCGGTGCAGGAGGAGGAGCTGTGAGCAGCTCCAGGCTGCTAGCAATTGCCTCGCTCAGCACAGGCTGGCTGCAAAGATCTAAGCCAAACAGCTCACAGTAATTTCTCAGCATACTTCATGTGGCTTAAACTCCCCTGAACACAGGAAAATTATATGAACATTAGAATGTTGCTTTCAGCAGGGAGACCTGTCAGACACGAAACACTTTCAAGTTCTGGCTTATTAGTAGTTGGAAGTGTAATTAATATTCACTGTAAACACACCAGTCAGACTTGATAATAAAGAATCACTAGCCTTGGAACACATACCCACTTTCTCTGCATTTCAGTGTTAACTTAGTCTGAAAACAACACTTAAATAGCAAACACAGTAACGCTAGTGCGGTACTAACATTCCAAACTTTCCAAAATAACCATCTGAGCAGCAATTCAAGTTGAAAAGCAACTTGGCTAAACCTTGAGGCTAATAAACTGCTTGATTAAATTAAGGAGTAAAAACTAATAAATATTCAAAACACTTGATAATGCTTTGTTTGACATAAAGAACATTTAATGCAAGTCTCACTGGAAAACCTGTCAGGTTTTATACCTTAAATAGAGTTTTGCATTTAGAAACACCAAGTGATTCCATTTGCTGCCTTTGATTATTGTCTTCTGTCACTTTAATCATGCTGGTAAAATTACACAATTTCTGTGAAGTCAAATCCGTTTACAATGCAATTTTAATACAGCTTTGCAGCACATTCTTCTATGCATTTTTATTTAGTTACTCCCTACCTAGCAATACTTTGCTTTGTTCTTGAGCCCTCATTAGCCTGGGGTTTGCTCTAAAGCTCTCCCAGGGAAGAACTAAATAAAATACAGTTAACCCTATGCAAAGAGATGGTCTGGATCAACGGACTTAGCCCTGGCACAGCGCCGGCTCTCCTGAGTCTCTCCCAGCCCTGCCAGGGCTCACTGCGCAGACAAGTCCTTGGCACCCACCAGCACTCTCACCTCCAGGCTCTTAATGAATCTTGCTGGTTTTGTTTCACAGCACCTCTGAAATCTGGACGCCAGTTGAGGCTATGATCATCTTGAACTTCTCTTTTACCCTCCTTTCTCATGCTTTCTTGTCTCAATGGATTGTCCAAAATGCTGCCCCTAAAGCATCCCTCTGGCCTTTCATCTGTACTGCTTCTCCATCCACCCTCCTTAATTTGATCTATCCCATGATCCACACAACTAATCCGGTCTTTAGCTTCACTCCCACCCATGTGTTTTCTCTCTTACCTCTTTAAAGAACTTTTCTTGCATCCACCCCTCAGTGCTCTGGCTCTCACCCTGCCTCATGCACCCCAACCCATAACCTGCCCGCCACTCTCCAGAAGGAGCAGTGCCAGGGCAGCCCTTCTGGGCTGGAGCTCTGAAACCACCCACAAATGCCAAAATTTCTCCCTGCCTTTAGATCAGATGTGTTCTCCCCAGGCACATGCAGGGGTCAAACACAACTGTACTTGTAACTTAGGCAAGAATGGCTTAGGAGAGGTTTGCAGCATGAGGATTAGCTGTACTCCAAAGCTAAAGCCGCCAGAGCAACCACAAATCCGGACTGACTCAGTTATGACTGACCAAATTATCTTGCCTACCCAGGCCAACACGCAAAGTGAAATCCCACTGCAAGGCTCAAGAACCTTCCTTTCCAGCAATGTTCCACATCCTCTAACTGAGCAGATCCCCACTGCCATCCCAATTTAGTCATCATTTCATCCTGGAGTTAGTGCTTTTGTTGAATCTTGTCATCTACAGTCCAGACACTTTTGTCTTCTAATTTTCGTACATAAGGATGACAATGTTACAAGTTTCACAAGTGCAAAGCCAACTGCTCTCCAGAGGAGAGCTTTTAGAAACAATCAGGGTTCGCAAAGTGACAGCCACCACTGTTATTACACAGAGAACACGTAATGCTCCTGAAAAAGCCCTCTGTAAATTCCATCTCCCAAGAATATTTTCACATTCATAAATTGTGTAAAAGCTTACTTCCTGAAATCAAAGCATCTGCATCTAACACAAATCCTCATGGGCTTGTTTAAGGGTATCTCTTTTTTATACCTACAAGAAAAGAAATTATACAATTTAAGTCCTCTAAATATCAAATTTTAAACACTTCTTTCAGATCCTGAGCATTAAGCCCTGGTAAGCGCTAGTTGCTGATGTTGCTTCTTAATTGTTATAACCTGATAAGTAAGCTAAAATGAGAAAATACAATTAGTTTAGAAAAACTGATCTAGCCATAAGCTTTGTTGTTTTTTACGGTATCCATGACAACCAGTGGTCCATTTATTAAATAATAGCATCCCTGGTGTAATACACAAGTACTAAAAATCCTAACAATAAACAGCAACATTTAGTTAAAAGTGTTTAGGTCAAGCACACAATTCAACCTGCACCAAAACAAATGACAGGAGGAAAAGATAGGTTGCATACTATAGCTTTCCTTACCTTAAAGTCATCTGGGAGCAGTAGCTTAGATGTCCTTAGGAAGCTTAATATATATCTGAAAATTTCACCATCTCGATCAATGAAATAATGTTGTTTCAAACTGTCCAAGACAATAGGCTCTGTGCCATTAAACAGGCGACTTATTCTGAAAAAAGAAAAGAAAAAGAAATGGGCAAAAGAGGAAAAAATGTCATTACACCCTCAGGGCTTAAGAACATCCAGCCAATTTAGTTGCATCAATTCAGTGTGCATGAAGTAATATCTTAATTTGGTGACAAACAAGTGCACAAAGAGAGACGCCTTAGACACGCATGTGCACCCACATGCTCACACACAAGAAACATGTGTGCACAGGCACACACCAGCAGCAAGTGCCTGGAGCGTGCACTGCCTCGAATCAGTGCTGCAAATTAGGACCATGACCCCAACAAGGCAAGTGCCTACGAAATGCTCTCCCCATGGCTGGCAGAGTAATTTTGGTGAGAACATGTGTCACCATTATACAATGCTGTCCACATGTCCTGCTAACGGAGAATCAAACAGCTGGTTACTCAGAGATGGGTTCTTGGCCATGAGCTTTTCCTCCAACTTGACTGTCATTCTGATCAACCACCATCAAAACCTTTCTGTGCTAGAGGAGAGGCTGCCCGTCCATGGAGATGAGCTGCATGAGCCCCTCAGTGCTGGATAAGTGGCCATACAACACCAAATGTTTTAGCAAAGCAGCAATCAGTGGCCAGTGCAGCATCTGCAGTACTGCCTGTGGGACCAGAGTCCCACCACCAGCAGTCCTGGGGATCAGAGTCTGGCAGAAGAAAAGCAATGTGACACATCTTTTATGAGCAAAGAAAAGGAAGGAAGACCTACGAGACCTGATGATCAGCTGGTTACAGGACCAAAATCAGCTACATCACCCCAGCTTTCTCCATGTCCTGAGGAGCAGGCTCTGCAGAAAGCAAACCAGGCGCCTGCTTGCCTGCTGTTTCTCCCGCCTCTCCCCTCCAAATGCCTGGCTTCTTTCAGAATGCTTTGTCTTCCCATGAGAAATAACCCAGCTGAATATATGTTCTTGAAAGGAAAATCACAGGAGACAAACAGCAACGACCTATTAAGTAACTGAGTCCATCTCTCTCAGAGAGCAGCATTGTTCCCAACTGCAGAGTGTCTCGTGTTTCAAAGTCGAGTCTTATATAATCCTGCCAGTGAGGTCTCTTCCATTTCCCAGAGAGAATATCCCACAGCCTGCTGGATTTCACTGTCAAGTCATCCCTTCGACTCAGCCATGCAATCCTGCTGTGTCCTTCACTGAGACCAGGGCAGGGCTGTCTTCTGCCATGGTAACAAGCTCACCAAACCATACCAAAAGGCAATGGCCAGCACTGCCGGTGGATGCTGCAGCTGCAGCCTCACTGCCTCCATCCTTACAGCAGCACCACCCCAAGGTTTTTGGTCCAGCAGTGAGGGAAGGGATTGCAAGGGGAAGGCATACACCCACCCCAGCAATGGGAGGAAGCAGGTTTGCTCCAGCACCCTGACGATGGGAAGGAGCAGGTCTGCTCCATCACCAGTGCTGGTGCTTCCGGTTGCGCCTCGCGCTCCATGCCTCGGGCTGTGGGTTCATGCAACGTGGTGAGATTTGCTCTCAGACTCTGAGGCTGCACCTCAGCCTGATCTTTTAACTTGCTAATTTATTTGCAGATTAACATGACGTTTATTTCTAAATTAATTAACTATGGAGGTATTAAATAAAACTGGACTTAGCAAGTCCCCACTGAATTCAGCTAAAAAAGCCTTCCTGCCCTCTTAAGCAAGTTCCAGCTTTTACTGCCTCCTCTCATGTCTGTCAGCAATCAGCTAGTCTGAGTTACTTATGAGAATAACCAAATGCTCCACTAAACCCTAATTATAATATGTTTACTGTTTTTCTTCAACTTCTAGGTTTTCAATGATATCAAAGAACATCATTCAGTTCACACTGCAGCATTTAATTTATATAATCCCAAATTTCAGTAAGCCTCCAGTAATTATTTTCCTTTTTGTTGTTATTTTAGGGCTATTTGCCTGAGATGGTTAAATGTATTCCCTTGTACAGTGTTAAATTTTATCCTAGGAGCTAGACAATTTGTTTCCTTAGACATACACATGAGCCAGTGTGCTGTGAGGGTGAGACTGAAAGCAGAGGGAACACTGATCAAGCAGCTTAAGATTCAATATAGTACACTTATTGAATAAATGTGGGTAGCTACTGAAAGTTTTGAAATCTTACAGCTCAATAAGCTGGGCTGTGGCTTCAACCTCCTCCCCTTCGGTGCCACTGCCCTGTGAAGCCTGTTGGGCTCTGCCACGCGTATGGAGAAAGGTCTGCCAACAGCGACAGGGCGCAGGGAAGACTGGGTAGGAAATCTTAATGGGCTGCTCTTTAATGCAGTGAAGCTTTTTTTTGGTAATGAAAACAAAACATGAATTTTGAGGCCTTTGTGGAGTGCCCTGAGCTGTATTTCTTCACCAGCAAAATTACTGCTGGGGAAGAAACTTGCAGAGTGTTGAAAGACTTAACTGCCACCCCAAAAACAGAGTGATGAATAGTTTAAGGATTTATTTGGCATTTTTTGGGGCTGCTATGTTCCAAGAACCAGCTTTGCTGCAGCGTGTTGTAACGCTGCGCACAGGAAGCGCTCTGGCTTCTCCCTTCTTGACAGGGTAAAAAATACCTGCAGAAAAGTCCATCAGAAAATGTAACACTGCAAGAGCACGAAGTGTACTCAAACAGCAGCTTCGAAACGAAAGTTCTCCCGACAGGCGTGCAAAGCCAAGGAAAAGAGTACAGCGCCCGGGGGCAGCTCTGTAAGCCCCACCAGGACCTGATGTGCTCAATGGGTGGATCTTGGGCAGCCAGAATGAAATGCTGCGCGAAAAGCATGGAAACAAAATGTGTGCAGGCAAGTCAGCAAGTGCAAGGGAATGGGTATGGTTTTGCACTGTGCAAACTTGTTAGTCCTCAATCAGAAATGAGGTACCAGCCTGGCTGGCAGGCTCAGGAAGCTCCAGCGCCCTGCCATGTGATGAGAGCTAGAAGTTATGGGAAGCTTCACTTTCTAATTTTAAAACCATCTTAAAACTTCTGTCCAAGATTTAATCTCCAGACAGGAACAGACTGAGCCAAGATCAATCCTAGCAGTTGCAAGCCTAAGGATGCAAACTTGCCTTTCTATTGCCTCCACCTCCCTGGCCAGTCCTGCAACGCTCACACCATCTTCCCAGTGCATGGTCTCTTCCCAGCCATCTATCCCTCCTCCTCAGTTCCTCTGCCCTCCCAGCAGTGAGCTCTCTCTGTGCTGCTGCCCACCCCGACCCCTGCAGGATCCTTGTTCCGGGCCACTGCTGTACCATCTCCCAACAGAGCAGAGCCCTAACAGGGTTAGTGTCCAGCCTCCAGCTTAGCAAGCATCACCAGCACCTAAATCCTGTCTGGATGCTCTTCCCTACTCCTCCCAACACCCAAAACACAACCTGTTGATCCTATTTCTACAATTTCTTTGTGCTTCTGTTGTTTCTGCTAAAGGCTTTTTACATTTTCAATCATGTTTCGCCAAAACGCCAAGGGGTGAGTTTCTACCTTTGTACTGATTTTACTATAATATTAAGATCTCCTTTTATTAGATTAAAAACAAACAATGCATACAGCCAACCCACAAGGACAAGGGTGCCAGTAAATTCTTTTCTTAGTTTCTTGGGCAGGGGAGGAAGCTGCGTGTGAGCACCTACCGATGGCTGCTGCTACCCACAGCCCCCAGAGTGTTGGCAACTGACTGTCCATACGAGCTCCCTGCAGTGCCCATCAAGATGGGAACACAAGGGTGGGCCTGCAGAGCAGAGACTCTGGCCCCCAGAGCAGAGCTCACCACACACCATCTCTTTCATAAACTCATCCAACCCCATCTTAAAAGCACCCAGGGCTTTTTGCATCCCCAGTTCCCTCTGGAGCACCCTCAAGTCTTCCTGAGACCATCACTGCACACAGCCACAGGTCTGTACCTCACACACCACTGTCAGCGGGTTTAGTGGCACTTTGGGATAGGTTTGGGGTGGAGTGGGTTCCTTTCTGCTTTGGGACAGTTTAGCCATTTTCTTGGCAACTCTTACAAAGAAAGAACTTCTGTTTTCTGTTCAAAGGCTTTACAGGCTGAGAGAGCTGGGCTTGTTCAGCCTAGAGAAGAGAAGGCTCCAGGGAGACTTTACAACAGCCTTCCTATACCTAAAGGGGCTAACAAGAAACCTGCAGAGGGACTTTCTACAAGGGTGTGTAGTCACAGCACAAGGGGGAATGGCTTTAAACTGAAAAAAGGGTAGATTTAGATTAGATATTAGGAAGAAGTTACTCCCTGTGAAGGTGGTGAGACACTGGCACAGGCTGCCCAGCAAAGCTGTGGCTGCCCCATCCCTGGCAGTGTTCAAGGCCAGGCTGGATGTGGGTTGGAGCAAGCTGCTCTAGTGGAAGGTGTCCCTGCCCATGGCAGGGAGTTGAAACTGGATGAGCTTTAAGGTCCCTTCCAACCCAAACCAGTCTGGGATTCTGTGAGTAAATCTGATTCCAGAGGCTTTCAGACAAGCACCCAGTATCACAGGACCTGTGGGACAGCCAGCAGTTGGAATGTGGCAAGTACAAGCAGAGCCCTCCTCTAACGAGCCCAACCAAAGGGGAGCTACTGTGGTTCTGTCCCATCCCACCCACCCAGCCAGCACAGCAACACCGTGTAAGTAAAACACTATCACAATGTTGCATTAAAAGTATTAATTTAAGTAATTACATGATTAATATTTAACTGTTCAGTGATATTTTTTGTCATTCATAATTTAGTTGTTTACATTTATTAAAAATTGATTCTGTAGACACTCTTCCTGCCCAATGTCAAATCAGCAGGGAATGCACATTTCAGCAAACTGTCAGCAAGATGTGTCTCTCTCCTAATTTTATGAGAGGAGAGGAGAAGAAGAGAGAAGCGCACCCTCCTGCTCCACTCAGTGCAAACATGCAGCGAAGCTGGTAGAAGCTCTGCAGCAATCCCTGCCTTCTATCCGGTGGCTGTCAGTCATTCTTGGCTGTTGGGCTTTCCTGTGGAGGTGGAGGAAGAGGTGGTTGTGGGA